AGAATTATTGTAGAGAAAGAGAACGTTCTGTACAGCTTCTATTTCTTGAAATTAATGCAGACAATCTTTTATTCTGCATACATTTCTTTATTTCTTATTTCTTTATTTTGCATCAATAATCATGATTACTTGATTACTTGAGTCGTTCATTGAACATAATTGGCATTATTGCACATTTTCGAGTACGATGATAATTGTACGAACGTAAGTAAAATACACGCCCGTCTTAAAATGTGCAGCATACCGTAGTCCTCGAAGAAAAGAAACAACTGTACTGCCGTAATCGCGAAGTGACAATTACACGAAATGATCGTCACTATCCTACTACGGTTTCTCGAAAGGCGATCACCTTTTCGGGCGTCCGTGCATTCTTTTCGGAAGCGTTTTTCCCGGAAAACACTTTCAAAAAATCGCATCGAACGATCGTCATCGCGAACCACAAGTCCATTTAAGAGCAAAAGAACGCACCTTAGCCTCCGAGGAAAATAAACCAGTGCACCGCTGCGTTCGTAAAGTGATAATTGCAGATAATGATCACTCAACTGGCAAACTAAAAAGGACGTGGCAGCCGAGAGAACAGAAGAACGACGATCGCAAGTGGACTGCGAATTTGATGGATTTTTGACAAAAACGATAACTGGGTAATAAACGAAATTGTAAAAACGTGAGAGGAATATTTTGATATTTTTATATGACTTGTAACTTGTTAAAATTGTTAAAAGAGAAAATGTTGAATAATTCAAGACTGTCGATGTACTATTCCCAATTAGCGAAGATTATCAATGAAAATACGATATTCCGAAATAATTCCATTTTTCCGCGATAAATGCGGACAACTCTGGTTTCGCCTTAAAAATCCGCGGTCTAGCGATCATGGTCGACAGTGGACACGTTGTCACAAAAAGAAACCTCGACGAAAGACAGGTCTCGTTACGAGAGACCTTATTTAATTAGGTCCGAAAATAGCCGACGCGCGTTCTATTTAAAGCGACCGGCGGTCTATTAATTGTATCGCGAATCGGTCATGCTCAATTACTAGAATTGGGTTAGGGGCTGATTGCCCAGTGGATCGTGGCCGCCGTTGACGTCAAGTCCATGCACAGGTTCGCCTCAGGTGTCGGCTATATTTCAATCCACAGCCGCGTTACTCGTTTTGTCGCCGTTTCACGGTCTCGCGTCCGCAAGCAGACGCCTCGCGCGACGAAATCGACGAGGAACGAACAATAAATTAACCCGCCGCCATTATTCACTGTTTGAATCAAATCGGCGGTGTTCGCGCCGCTGTTTTCTCTCCGATGCTGTCCAAGAAATCTTCGGATCGAAGTCGCGCGTTTATGCAACCCGAGTCGGATGTTCACCGAAACGCGAATCGTTGTCTCGCCGCAAATTGGTAACGACAGGAAATCGCGGGAAACACGCGAATATCGATATTCGTGCAGACCGAGCAAAGTCGAGATCGTTAAAGCAATATCAGCGCAACGATATTCGTGCTCTCGTTTCTTCTAAATTTTCACCGTTAACGTTTAATCGACGTCGTCTCGACGATAACAAAATTCGAGCTGCAACTGCGAACGAAGGAACAACGTGGCCTCCGTCTCTGAAACATGACCGAGACGGAAGATCGATCGGCCAGGCTGTTCGACAGCTGTTCGAAGACTGTTGCATTAGCGTTGTTGCTTGAACGTACCCGCGCAAGACGCTTAATAGACGGCAATAAACAATAGAGGGAACCGTCGTTGACCGGCGGCCGAGCGCTGCTAAAAATATCAGTTTTGACGGTTGCCAAATTTCAACAAATATCGCGGCCTCAAGTTCGAATTCGGCGTCGTTCAGTTCTCGTTCGTCCGCGGATTCGCGTACACGCGCACATCCGATCCAGCACAGATTCCCAAAACACGATCCCGACGATCGTTCGAACACCGTGATCTTATCGCGCCGCGTTCGAACGCCGATAAGTCTCGAGCTTCTCTACGCGATCGAGCATAATCGCGTCGGCGAACGAGATATTCGCGTGTAGGCCGGCCGCGTGTCGAACTCGTCTCGCACAGAAACTCCAGAGAAAATCGAAACAATGTTCTCCGAAGTATCGAAACGAACGAGTTCGCAGGAGTCCGTTGAGAGACCCGCGTCCTCCGTCCGCGCGCGTGAATGAAACGTCGCTAGGAATTCGCGTGAAAGCGAAGTAAAGAGATTTCGCGCGTATTTTTCTACGATGAGAGACCTTTAAATACTTTCGTGAGTCAGTGCACGTTCTCCTAATTCAGGGAGAGTCGTCTATACGCCAAACGCGACACAGCGCACCGTTGTCGTCCGTCTCTCGCCGACGATCGGCTCCCCCCGACGACGATGCAGAAACCGCGGGATTAGCGTGACGGAAATCGCGGCCCGGGGTGTGCAATCGCGTTGGGCATTGCGCTGTCTCGATTGTTGTGAACGAGCGGATCAGTGCTGGCAGTGTCCGCGGAAAGAGGAAACAATAGAACGATGGACAGCGGCTCGCGGTGAGCCGAAAACACTTCGCGCTGCCAAAAATACCGATTTCCGAGGGTTGCCAGCGGACAAACGGTGTGCGACTGGCATCACCCGGCTACAATGACGCAGTAATTAGTCGGCAGTGAACGATCTATAACGAGCCGCCGACTGGCCGAGGACGGGCCGGACCCTCGTAGACTGGCTCGCTAGAAAAAATGTGCGATCTTCGTTCTGTTCGCACGAGCAACGCCTCGTCCTTCGTAACCTGATCGAGCGTAACGATCGGCAGAGCTCCGGAGGATCCACGGCCAAGCTTTCATGCCGGCTTCCGTCCTCAACCGAGCCTATTTCGTCTGTAACGATGACTATCTTGTAAGTGAACACGCTCGGAGCTTTCGCAGCCCCGTTCCCCTTGCGGCCGCCGCGGTCTTCCATTGTTTTCCTTGGAGTGCCTTCGATCGCGAAACCCGTGTTCTCCTCGTCGCGTTAATCGTTTCCTTTATTCGCTGACTGACCACCCGGTTGCTTGATTGTTGCGAGGTAACTTGATAGAAAACACGGTTTCTCGTTCTGTTAATTAAAACGTATATTTTCTCAGATGATTCTGTGTAAATCCCCTGGGGTTGTCGGCGACTACATTTTTTAACTTGTCTGCAAACGTGTAAAAGAATACTAAAACGTTGAGATTAATTATTATATCACCTGTAATATATAATAATAATAATGCATATAATATTATATTATATATTTAATGGTACACATAATATAATATTATATATTTAATAATACAGATAATATAATATTATATATCTAATAATATATATAATATTGTATAATATATTTAATAATACATAATATTGTATAGTATATTTAATAATATATTATATTACAGATATAGATATAGATATATTATATAATTTACCCTTTCTTTAATCATTTTTGTGGGTTAACTATTCGATCTGCCACGATCTTTATGTGATTTATAATATGATTATAATGTAAGCACCTGTATTATAGTATAATCTGAATGGCATTCATATAATGCGAGTATAATATAACGTGATAAAGATAAAAGAGAAGTAGTTGTTTCTTAATCAGCACTGAAAGAGTCTTAAGAGTTCTTAAGAAGAGATTCTTAAATTCATTGAATCCTTTTCTGATATTTTAGATTTCACAGTCTACTACTCGCGATAGACAACTTTTTTGTGCGTTTCATTCGAAACAAATCGTGCCCGATCGTTTTCGAAGACACTGTCTAACGTGACAATATGGAATTACTGCGAAAGTGTATAATGTTTACGATCGAGGAACAATCCAGATTGTTTATCTATCGCCTTGTGCATGTGACTGGAATCAAGAGCGCTCAATTGTATCGCCAAAAATTTCTGTCCCGATAATTCCTTATCACATCGGCGATGAGTTATCGCCGTCGAATATCGATTCTCACCAAATAATACGCGCATTAACACCATCGAGATCGCCTAATTCCCATCGTTCCGAGCCCCGCTCGACCCAATTCCACGCGGAATCCCCACGGAACGCCGAGTTTTTCGCGAGATCCCCGCTCGTCTTCTTTTTTTTTCTGTGCCGCGACGAGCGCGATCGTTCCGTTTCCATCGAACTCGATAACAACTTAAATATAGCTCGGTGAAAAAAAAAGGTTGTCGATTCTCCCGAGATAAATCTGAGATCCGTTCGATCATGTCCAGCCCCGATAGATGACGAATCGATCATTATCGGAGCATTTTTAATGCCATAGTATTCTGGCCGGTCGTGCGATCGAACGTTAATCGATCGAACACCGTGATCCAGTTCGTTCCTGTTTTCATTTTCCATGAAAGTTTCGTCGTGGTAACCGCAGCCTAATTCGCGACAGTTTTATTTTTTCTATCAAGGTTTTTGTTTTGGGATTTATGGGGAAGCTTCTCTCTCACAGTGCCACGAGTGAATGATCTAGTTCGAGGATCGTGCTGACAGATCGTGGATCGTACACGTTTGGTATGTATTCGTGCTAGATACTGCATCGTGTCCTCTCGAAACCTAATTAACGTGTGAACATGATTTTCATACTTGTGCATGTCGCGATCTTTGGCGACAAATTTTCGTCTTGTGTTTTGCGAACTGGCGGCGAACATGTTGCAACGAATTCTGAGCGCCTCCGAAGTGTCGCGATTTCCAAATCTGCATGAATCCTCATCCCCAGATCTCTAGATCGCTAGATCTTGGAACGCCGCAATCTCGAAGTCTTTCGGATTTCAAAATCAACAGAAATCTCCGAGATCTGCGAAGTCTGCTCTCAGCGATCCTCAGAGATCTCTGAGATCTTGGAATCTAAATTTCCAAAGTCTCTCGTCTTCTTATCCTTAAATCTTGAAATTTATAATCTTGCTACTTGAAATCCTTCAACTAATTCTCCGAAGTCTTTCCAAAAGCTGTCTCAAGTAATTTATTAGACAACTCGCCGCCAGAGTGCAAACGATCGAACGAACTCAACGATCGAAATCTGATGGATTTTATTGACTATCTAGATGTATGGTCGCTATACGAAAGACCTGGGTGAGTACGCGAAGGAAGAGGCTCAGAAGCTCAAGTACCATGAGGCCAAACGGAAGTATAAAAAGGGCAGAGAAGAGGAGTTCCGGAAATCGGGGAGAGGTCCTCTTTGCAGGAAGCTGCTCGCTCTGCTCGCCTTCGCCTGGAAACATACCGGAGCTAGATTAGGCGAGGACTGGGTCTTCCTGGCCCTGTTAGGTATCATCATGGCGTTGATCAGCTACGCCATGGATCGTGGCATTTCCATGTGCAACAACGGTCAGTCCAGACTTGATTTTACTATCCGACAATCGTCCTTAATCAATCATTAGAAACTGCTTCCTCCGTTTATTCTTAAGTCAAAAATCTTCATTCAATAAACAAAGATCCTTCATTAAAAAAAATAACAAGTTGAAAGAGTTAGAAAATTTAACTATTCGATAAATATAAAGTTAATTATACCCGGAAACAAACCAAAGGCACAGCAATCGGTCACCCCACAGTAACCCGGCCCCGCTAACCTAATTACTCCGAGATTGATTTTTTGCCAATTTTCCGCGTCGTTGTTTCCCGTCGGAACTCGACGAGTCCATTAACTGTGTGTCCTCGTTCCACCAGCCAGGATATGGCTTTATCAGGACCTTACGCAGCATCCGGCGCTCCAGTATGTGGCGTGGGTGTCGCTTCCGGTTTGCCTGATCCTGTTCAGCGCGGGATTCGTACACATCGTTGCTCCTCAGAGCATTGGTTCCGGGATCCCGGAGATGAAGACCATCCTCAGAGGTGTCGCCTTGAAAGAGTACCTGACCTTCCGCACCCTGATCGCCAAGGTTAGCTCGCGTTCCCATCTCGTCTCTTGATCTCCGCTGCGTCGTCACGGTCGGCGACACTCCGGTGACGCGATTGCTTCCGCGGTAATTAGGGTTGATTCGCTGGCCGAAATGAATTTTCCAGCGCGGCGACTATATTCGAATAACGACTTCCTCGAACAACGAGCGAACGTGGCGCCTCAAGGTGCTTGCGAGCTTGTAAGGCTTATTCGAAGATAGTTGCAGAAGCTTGGACTATCATCTAGCTTATTTAAATAGTTGCCAAGGTAGCAAATTATTCGAAGGTAGATAGACAAGCTTAGCTGCCCTCTAGCTCATTAAGATAGCTACCAAAGTACCCTTCTTCTAATCGAAGGGCCCACCGAAGGTAGCAAATTGTTTCACGCCGTTTAGACCTGACCAAATTCCTAACAGGTGATAGGTCTGACGGCGACCTTGGGTTCCGGCCTGCCCCTGGGCAAGGAGGGTCCGTTCGTCCACATCGCCAGCATAGTAGCAACGCTGCTGTCGAAGTTGGTGACCAGCTTCCAGGGGATCTACGAGAACGAGAGCAGGAACTGCGAGATGTTGGCAGCAGCCTGTGCGGTTGGAGTTGCCTCGTGTTTCGCCGCGCCGATCGGCGGTGTCCTCTTCAGCATCGAGGTCACCACGGTCTACTTCGCCGTGAGAAATTACTGGAGAGGATTCTTCGCGGCTGTTTGCGGAGCCACGATGTTCCGATTGCTGGCCATCTGGTTCCAAAGGGAGGAGACCATCACCGCGATGTTCGCCACCAATTTTACCATGGACTTCCCGTTCGACCCGCAAGAGCTGTTCGTCTTTGCCTTGATCGGAGTTGGCAGCGGACTCGGCGGCGCGTTCTATGTCTGGCTGCACAGACAGTACGTGATCTTCATGAGAAAGAACAAGAGCATGAACAGCTTCCTGCAGAAAAAGTGAGTGCTTTTTATTCTGTTCTCTGGGCTGCTGTTTCAGTAGCCGTGTGCCATTAATTAATTAGGCCATTAATGTGCCATTAATTAAATAGCCGTGTGCCAATTTTGTTTTCATCAATTGCTCTGCGGTACTTAGGCTACTGTTAAGATTCTCTGTGATCCATGTAATCGTTCTGCGACTCTGCCAAACATCCTTAAATTATTACTTAGTACGACACGCAATTATCTGTCACAAAACTGTATAAAGTCCACCAATCTGTTCTACTATACCTCTCTATCAAGCATTCCAAACTCAACGATACTAATCCAAATTACTTCTATTACAACACTGTCAAACTTCCTCAAACCATCGTCCAACTTCGCTTCATCGTCGCCGTTCACAGTACCGCAAGATCTTGAAAAATTCTCTGAATTTTCCTCGAAACCTCGACCAAACGGCAGACATGTTATGCTCAAACAACGTCAAACCAATTCCAGTCGTTTTTTATACCCCGGAATCGTCTCGCTGCTGGTCTCCTCCGTCTCGTTTCCGCTGGGATTGGGCCAGTTCATGGCCGGCGATCTGAACACCCACGACCAAGTATACGGCCTGTTCACCAACTTCAGCTGGACCAAAGAGGAGCTCGGGGTCGAGGAAATGAACATGGTGAAGCACTGGTCGACGGCGTACACGGACGTGTTCACCGGTCTCCTCGGTTTCGTCGCGTTCACGGTAAGGATTCGCCTGTCGATCTCTAAGATCCGCGACGACCTGGATCAACGTTCTCGGAGAGTGTGCTCAGTCGACCAAAGGGCCTTTGATTTCAGTTCATCTTTTCCATTATAAGCTCGACGGTGCCCGTCCCCTCTGGGATCTTCATACCGGTCTTCAAGATCGGTGCAGCTCTTGGAAGAGCTGTCGGCGAGGCTATGGCTCTGTGGTTTCCGACCGGTGTCCGTTACGGTGGCATAATCACTCCCATAGTTCCAGGTAATCCTTTCTGGATCTATCAAGATTGTCGATCAGAATCGTGTAGAATTGTTTGTGAACGCGAAAGAGAATGTTGAATCGGCATGTAGGATCTTGGGTGATTTTTCAGGGGGCTATGCTACCGTCGGAGCCGCAGCGTTTTCGGGAGCAGTGACCCATACCATCTCTGTCAGTGTCATAGTCTTCGAGATGACCGGTCAGATCACTCACATCGTCCCCATCATGATAGCAGTGCTGATCAGCAACGCGATCGCAGCTCTCCTGCAGCCTAGTATCTACGACAGCATCATTCTGATCAAGAAGCTGCCGTACTTGCCCGATCTGTTGCCTTCTAGCTCCGGTAACTAGCCTAAATTCAATGGTCCTGTTTCGACGTGCCAGGAAAAAGACCCCAGACGAGATCGTTTAGATTATGTAGAAGTTTTTTAAGCGCGACTTAATAAGACAGTGTTTAACCAGTTAGTTGTTTCTGACGAGTATAGTCATCGAAGACAGCTAACTAGCTAATAGAAGGATATATGCTTCGATAATTAAATGAGATATTGTATAAGTGTTACATTTATACAAAATGTTGAGAAAATCGAACATATACAGAGCATAATTGCAGCAACTTGCGCACTTTTCGAAAAGATTGCAACAGCTAACCGGTTGAACAGAGAACGCTGCAAATCGTGTGCAGTTCAAGTCGATCTAATCAGGGTGAATTCTCTAGCAGTGTTTGGTGTTACATTATGTTTAGCACCCGCGTTATTTTCGATCCCGAACTAACATTTGTCCCGTTTATTAACAAGCCTCGCGGACGAAGCTCCTTGGCCGGGTAATTGAATCTATGGAATATTCTTCTATTTATAATGCGTCAGTGGCCCCGAAATAGAGCTCGCTAGTGACAGCGTTCGTTCCGCTAGGTATGTACAACGTCTACGTGGAAGACTTCATGGTCCGCGAGATCAAGTACATCTGGCACGGGATCACGTATCAGAGGCTGAAGGAGATCTTGAAGGAAAACCGCAAGCTCCGAGGATTCCCGCTGGTCGACAATCCTGGCTCGATGATCCTGCTCGGGTCGATCCAGAGGCTGGAGCTGATCAAGCTGATCGAGAAGCATATAGGACGCGAGAGGAGGCTGCAGGTAAGCGATCAAAGTGATTCTATATATTATATCAAACACTTCAGGAAGCACTCGTTTCTCTGAAATTAAATAAAAAATCAAGTTAGCCTGAAGTGCTCTATTTCGTGATCGATTAGGTCGCCCAAAAATGGCAAAAGGAGGCCGAAGAGAGGGCCAGAGAGGAGATGGAACGTCAGCTGAGGGACCAGGAGAGGACTAGAAGACCGTCTCGGTTCGAGGTGATCCCAGCGCCGGACATCCTGAAGATGCAAAGACAAAGTGTCAACGATCTAACGATGTCGCCAAACAACGGCACCGGGCCCGATCACGTGAGTCACGCCCACGCCCGTTTGACGTCATTTCCCGCGAACTGTGTATATTTGCTCGCCTAACTAGCCGCCTACGTCATCCGGCAGCCTCCTTTTTTTCCTCTCTCTCTTTCTCTTCCTCCTGTTATTTCACACGATCAATTCCGTTTTGCCTCAGCACACATACCACTCGCCGGTGTTCGGCTCGCAGCCGAAAAAGTCCATCTTGAAGAAGACGAACTCCTTCACCCTGAAGGGATTCAGCCCTCTGGTCAGTCCAGCTGCTACGCCGTACACTACGGTCACAGGAGCTGAGAGCAGGTACGAGAGAATGTAATTAAAGCCGTTAACTGGACTATTTTATGGACTGATAATGGTTCATGATGATGATGATGATGATGATTGGAATTGATATTCATCATCATTTCAATATTTCCTAACAACCTTAATCCTCAATGGCACACTGCTGAAGAACGACCTAGACGAGAAATTTCATTCAAATTCAATTCTCTAGTTCCAGGATACGTCTGGCCTTCGAGGCGATCTTCAGGAAGTCGGCCACTCTGCAGGACGTGGACCCAGACCCAGAGATAGGATCAGGGGGAGCAACGAGAAGGGAGAGTCAGGATGGAATTAATGTACAATCGCACACGCCCATGTTGGCACCTAGTCCAGCCACCTCGAAGAAAGTTCAACTGGTAAGCTTGTACTTTAACCTTGAATCTGATCTGTATTTAACTCTTTTCTTGTTGCCAGCCAAGGGAAAGAGTGATAGACATGTCAACGGAAGACCAGAAACGATGGGAGGAGAGCGAGATGGCGCTGGAGGTCGACTTCTCCAGGTGTCACATCGACCCTGCGCCCTTCCAGCTGGTTGAAAGGACGTCCTTGCTGAAGGTGCACAGCCTTTTCAGCATGGTAGGGGTGAACCATGCGTATGTGACTGCTATTGGAAGGCTAGTTGGGGTTGTGGGGCTCAAAGAGGTACGTGAAACAAAATTACTTCATCTAGCGCTACAGATCATTTCCATGAAATGGGCCCAGCTTCTAATCCTAGCTCACGTAGTATTGATGGAAATACTCATAGGGTACTCTAGTTCATCTAGCATCAACACAAAAACGATTCAATCGTTCATCTTAACACTAATTGCACAGAATCCTGATAACAATGCCGATCCTTGATCCTCTATGAACACGAACCCGCTATGGATTCAAGCACTCATTCCTCCTCGCACTATCCAACAAGGAAAGTGAGATCAATCCCACCAGAAAAACAGAACCTTCCCACATAATCTTCATCCGTCTACTGAGAATTCAAACACCACTAATTCAATTGCAGTTGAGGAAAGCGATAGAGGATGCAAACGCCGGAATCCTGCCGACTCACCAGGACTCCCACATCGCCGTGTCTAGCTCTAGTCTAGCGAAAAGCGAGACGGACACCGAGAGCAAGAACGCTAGCACAATGAATTCCATCGCCTCGGTCGAGTGCGAGAAAGTGGAGAAAGTCTGAGAGATACTTGAGACAGAAAGAAAGAAAGAAAGAGAGAGAGAGAGAGAGAGAGAGAGAAAGTGAATTGGAAAGAAAAGTAAACGAATCTGAAAGAGAGAGAGAGAGACATAAGTAGAAGCAAACATGTGATAGTCGCCGAGCCGAACCGGCCAGGCAACGCGACCCTGAACGACAAGAGAGACCTTTTTAATTAGAGATGAATCCTCTTCCTTCCGCGACCCATTCGACAGTTCCGGAACACTCGAGTAGCAAACCAGTCGCCAGCGGTGGATCGCTTTCGAACGCTCCTCTCGTACTTAAATGAGGACAGGATTGATAGAAAACCGCGTCTTAAAGGCTTCCTTCCGGACCGCAAGTACCACGGAACGTACATCACGGCTTTTGGATTTAGATTCGACGCGTAGCCTGCTGTAGATCATCGCTGGGACCTCCGGGATCAGGATTCTGTGGTAGGGACACTGCTTCGGCGTTTCCATGACTGGACGATGCATCGGAACAACGACGGGACGCTCCAAGATAGCAGATAGCTTCCAGAGGTCTTTGAGAACGTTTAGGTTATCGGTGCTAAGGGTGATCAGTTTAGAATTTATTAGGGTAGCTTGTTTATAGAACCGGGACTTGTTGTCGAGACCGTATTGCAACTGTAATGAGGAACACACATAGAGTATCAGTGTTAACTTAGAAGCTTTTCGCGTTTATTCCATGGACACCAACGTTAAGTACCAAGTACAGACTATATTTAGCCATCAGTTACCAGAACCTCCAAGAAGTCAACACTTAGGGTATCAACATTTGAGAAGCAGGTCGTTGGCAGACAGAGTCTGAAGCAGTCCGAAACCACTAATCGTAGAAGGATGTGATCCTCTGCAAAGATCTAAGTGTAGATCCTTCCCCGGTAAACCGCAAGGAATGATCCTCGAGTCGCGTTAACAAAGGAAGTTAGGCTTGTGTGAGAGCGAGAGTGTGAGAGCGATGAAGTCAGTGTCCAAAAGATCCTCCTCGACGCCCGTGGTCGCTATGCTAAACAACCGGATGCTCCATCGGTGGTCATTATAATATCGAAAAGGGAAACTGAGAGAGAGAGAGAGAGAGAGAGAGAGAAAGAGAGAGAAAGGGGAGAGACGGACGGTGGTTCAGGAGCGATCGGATCGTAGAGAACAATTGTTCGACAGCTACGTGGATCACGGCCGGGTGATCAATAATGTATAGCGTTCCGTGAGGAGCGTGTTCGACGATCGATCGAGGAGGAACGAGGATCCAGGACTCGCAGAGTGCTCTAGCTTGTAACTGTCTAACCATGGTTGTGCCAACCTATTTATTCTAATTGTTAATCGTTAATGAACCGCGCGGAGATTCGTCGAGTAATCTAGAGAGATCTATATTTCCTGTCCTCGCGAGATCGCGACGGATCTATCGTAGCACAATATTTGTTCTTGCTGTTAGATCCTCGCGGTCTCACGATGATCGTCGATGCTCCCCTCCCAGATCAAATTGAATACGGACGATGGTGTCGAGGAGCGGAGAGGGGGCATCGTTCTAGTTAGAGGATATTTTAATGACGTAGCGATAATCGATAAATAAAGAAAAGGAACAACGATGTCTTAATTAATCGTTACAGATGAACCAGATACGTCTTTCAGTGTTATATCTAGGACCAGAGGCGGCCCACCACCGTCCAATTAATTAATTTAAGACACATTCCATCTTGACGAACAACTTCGCGATGCATCCCATTTTATTGTAAATCTATCTCGCCGCGCGTTTCACTACAGGCCGTAGACGACGCTTCGACGGCCGCCGAGTTTATCCGTACAATCTGTACAATTCGGGAGAAGACATTAAATAATTTATTATACTATTTACATATTGTGCTGTGTCGATATTTATACGAAGATCCACGACGCGCCGGGTTGTCGATGCTCGTCCCCGTCGCCATTTCGCTTGCCGAAAAAACTGTGTCCACCCTCGGACAGACCCGGGTCTGTTCTGACCCTACTCTTCCACAATCGATTCACCTGGTCTTTGGACTTTCAACAAATCACATAGTGTAACCAGTCGGTAACATAAATTCTCTCTACATTTTTAAATATTTCGTCTCCCATGGAGGAAAGAGATCAACAAATTGTCGACATTTGAACTGCTATAATTTCGTAATATAATCAATCTGGACTCACGGTAAACTTGAAGCCCGATAAAGCGATTTAAAAAAAAATCGTACGCCAAAGTTTAACAGATCGTTGTCATCGATCCTGTAATCTATGTGTTAAGGTCAATTGCGAGAAAAATTACAAACTTTTCAATCTGTAAGATTTCCAAGAAGAAGCATATCTCCAATTTCGCACCTGCTATATTATACATCAACGTGTCGTAAGAAAACGAACTATGCACAGCAAAAGTAGAAGCTTCGAGCTTCAAAATGAGTCCAAGCTTATATTGCCGTACGACCTCATTCTACGAAATTATGATAGTTTCGATGTCGACAATTTGTCAAAAATCGAGAAAGTGTACAGCGACTTTCTGGAGCGACTGTCTCGCGTTGTGTGACATTAATTACCCAGGCGGAACCGTCCGAGGGTTGATCGGCCGAGCGCAATTAACGAGTCGGTTATTTAACATAAAAAAATACTAAAGCTCGGTACGGAAGAGAGCCAAAGCGTACACAAATTGCGATGTCGATCGATGTAAAATACATACATATTCCGCGCAAGCCAGCCAGCGATATATCTAGGTCACGTTTTTCGGTAAAGAATACTCGCCGCTTTGTAATCGGAGTTTATTCTACTTGTCCAAGGCAAACCAGCCGTGTAAGCATTTTGGCACCGGGCCAGGCACCTCGAAGGTGGCCCTCGCGATCTCTGTCATAGTCACGCTGTCTAGAACCAACAGGCCCACCTGCGACTCCTTGTTCGACCACACTATGGAGCTCAGGACCACGCCATCGTCCTCGTTCTGTAACGTTTAAGTCATCCTTGAAGACACCATTGTTCGAGCATAAGGCCCATTAACTCTGGAACTACCAAACCCTAAACGGGATTTCTATTATAATGTATATGCTTGAATGAAGCAGTTCACCTAAAAGTTTCTCGTAGAAACATCTGTATAATATCAGCGATTGTAAAAGAGAAATTAGGGGCACAGTCGTTTTGAGGTAGTTCCAGTGTTTTAAGTGTATCAATTAATTTATTGAGAAAGTACCTTTCCGTTCGGATCGGGGACGAAGATGGGCTCACTGGGGTAGACGTTCTTCTCCTGCCATGTCTTCCTCGTCTTCTTCAAGATGTCCACCTTGATAAGCTGAAAATGAATGTGACGTATTGGAAATTAATGTCAACCCCTTGCACTATAACGAGTCAGACTCGTGATGCAGATTTCATGCAGGAAATATGAATTTGTAACAGAACTTGATTCTTCTGTTATCAAAGTCTAGGGCCGATAGTAAATGAAGACATACAAGAAATGGCAATTGTCTCGTTAGAGAAATTATTAAGAATTATTATTATTATTATTAGGCAATTATTATTATTATTAGGCAATTATTATTATTATTATTAGGGAAATTATTAACACGTCGAGTGTCGCACCAGTCTTCAAATGACCTCAGGAATCACCCCTTTCCGGGTGTCAACATAATTATGGAACACCCTGTGTATTGAGCAAATCAGGATTTCTTGCAATACAATATTAGGATTTTTAGAATGCAAAATAGTTGAGCTAATATTTCCTGTCGTGAATTTGAACTTTCGATTTTAATCATTCAATTCTCGAAGTCGGTACTGAAATTGCTGATCAACGTAGCTACGAAAGAAATCTTGTTGCAAAGGGTTAAACCTTCGTTGCGCCAATCAAGAAAGCTTATAAAACCTGAAGAAGAAGAAGAGGGTATTCAGCTTTACGAACCGTTCCTGGATTCTCCAAGTCGACGTCGCTGGAAATCGCGTAAAAATATCGGTACTCCCTGCCCAGGAAGCAGTCATAGTTCAGTCTCGGTGTCTCGCACCCTAAATCACAGAGCAGCTCTGGTTTCACGAAAACGTTGCCGTCGGGAAGTCTGTGTGCAGTCGCCTTCCTCGCGAGAACATTTCTGTAGTCGGTTTTCTCGTCTTTGTCAGCTGAAGTCTCGTTCGTCGAGGTAGAGTCTGGTGCAGCGTCGTCCTGTCGCGACTCGTCCACGTCCTTGAACGATTCTAGACCCTGGTTCACAGTGTTCACTGTGATTAAATTCTGCTCCACCGGGACGTCTGGTTCTGGACGGTTCATCGGCAGGACAAACCGCAGCGGTCTGCCGCGGAACATCTTGGCATAGTCGGGATTCTCGTGCAGGTTCTACGACAAGAACAGTGGCGAAATAAATTCATTTGAAGAAAGTATGCTAAATTAATCGAACAGACTTTTTTATGAGCGGGTCAAGTAGTTCGTTCCTCCTTGAGTCGGACGCCCTCGTAAATCAGTATAATTTAGCAGAAGACAGAATGAAAAATAAGATGTTATTTTAAATGAATGTTCATCGAGTACCTTCATTGCATCGACGAACATGCAGTCCAGCATCTTCGAATCACGGTAACAACAGATATCGAGAACCACATAATCGTGATCGCGTGTTTCAAATTGGTTGATGATGTGAAGATAGAAGAATGCTTCGCTGACGAAGGTTCTCTCGAGCTGGCCCGTTTCCCTTGAAACCAGATGTATAAGGGTCTGGAATAGACGATTGAAAAATTAATTGTCCACCGATTAATCGTCAATATTTACAAATTTAATTTATTACAATCACAATTTACAATTTCGATGGAAGATCGGCTTACGTTCTCGTTCTCGTGCCACTTTAAAGCTGCGCGCATCGGTTCCTGCTTCACTTTGCAGGACAGTATAGTGGTCAGAGACACTGCTAGGGGTTGTTCGAGGAATATGAAATAGTTTGCGGTGATGCCGAACGTGTGCATGTAGGAGGGGTTCAGCAACCACCTGGATGGAACTGTGGCCACTATGGTGGCCTGATCGAACATTGACAACTCCTTCTCTTCTCCAGCGTCGTCTAAAAACGTGCATTCGCATGGAGAACTTGCAATTGGAATAGTTGTTAGACTGCGGATTTTATGCGTTCATGACGAAAATGAGTAGATGCGATTTAAAAGTGAAATTAAAATTGAAATTAAAAATCAAAGGGTTCCGATACACCATTTTCAACCTGTTAAACCTATTAAAGAGAAATGGAGATCCATGTTTCTTGCAACAGAGATGCGGAATATTTTGATTTTTCATAAATATTCGCGGTCAAGTTATTATCAACTCATTAAACTGATGAAAAAAAGAATTAAATGTCTACGTAGTTTTTGCATCTTGCAATTACCGAAGACGATTTATTATTATAATATAGTATTATAATAGTATTATAGTAATTAATTATAATATATAATAATAATAATAACTATAATAATTATAGTATTATAATAATGTCAATATTAATATTATATAATAATAATAATATATAATATAATAATATATTATAATATAATATATATATTATAATAATTAATATAATAATATAATATATAATATAATAATAATAATATATAATATTGTATAATATCATAATATAATATACATTATAATATTTATTATTATAATACATAATTTATGAAAACTAAAAATGTTCTGCATCTCTGTTGCAAGAAACATGGATTTTTATTTTTCTTTGGCACAAAGATCCACAGTCTACTGATTAAATAATGTTTACTAACCGATGGTAAGGCAACTCGGCGAGAAGCACACTACATTGTACATCGGTCCCCGAGGAGTTAGGCTCATCCCCATATTATAAACCGTGCCATCGTTCATCACATGGGGATGGGACGTATGGTTCACTATGCCAACGTAATCCGACACTGCCACCTGGACGAACAAAATCGCAGTAAATCAATCGCAACCCTAAAACCATATTAAAAGATTCTGAAAGCTAAAAATCAGCCTAAAAAAAAGACAAAGGAAAATCGATGAAAGAAGAATCAATTAGAAGAATCAATAACCTTGCCAGTGGTCTCCAAAGTCTCGGGATCGATACGATGGATCACAGCGGATTCTGCGAACGTGTAAAACTCGTCTCCAAAAGGGTAGACAGATATCATCGAGTTGTCAGAGTCCTCGCCAGGCTTGAACACCGCCGCGATCCTGAAGAAAGATCGATTTTCTGTTTTTTTCGGCTGTTCGAAGGATTCACGGGTTTCTGATATCGATTCTGACCTTTGAAAGATTGTTTGGCAAGGATCAGGCACCGCTTTCGTCCCGAATTCGGTGACCACTATCCTCTGGGCAGCCTTGTTCTTCTTGTACACGTCGGTCTGGACGAATCTACACTGGTACGTCACCTTGCCCTTCGAAATCGCGAATCTGCAACGATATCGGCGACAACCGTACGCTTTTATTCAGTTCAACAATCGACCAAACCTACCCTGCCCTAAAAGTTATTAATACACAATAATTAATAGCAACGAGAAGACTATATTTATTTAATTATTTAATTATTATATTTATTAGTAATTATTATATATTAATATTATATTATATATAATATTATATTATAATATTATATTATATATTAATTATTATATTTATTTATATATATTAGATTTAATTATTAATTATTTTCTACAAGGAAGTCTTTATAATTTCAGTAACTTTAAAGCAAGAAATTTGAAACCGATCATTTTATTCGGTCGGCTATTTCAATTCGAAATACAAGGCAATATTTCTAAAATTAAAAAACCAAAGCTTTTTATTATTTTATTTATCATTCCAAGTATATATAATAGCAAAATCAAAAGAAATTATTTTAATCATTCCCTTAACGTTAAAAAAGACATTAAAGTCATTTAGTCAAGTTTTACAAATATTATTACGTTTTAAAAAGTATTCGAATACATTTTACCGCGGGTAATAGAATAAGCCAGCTTCTTTCGAAGTCGCCGAATTCTCCGTGCGAAGGAACGAAGAAAACGATTAACTATTCACGGTCGAAGCCGGTGCGGTGCAGATCCGACCTTGAACCTGAAGCGCAGCTGATTAAAAAAAGATGAGACGCGAATGGAAGACCGAAAACGTCACCGATCGTCTTCCACACGGGAACGTGTCCCTTGGATGTTAATCGCGCCGGTCTTCGTAATTGTTGTTTAGCGACGGTCCACGGATTTAACGGTAGCCGGTGTGTGGCTTCCGGATGATCGATAACACATTGATGATACCCGTGTTTCGTCAGCCCAGCTAATTTCTTTAACCCTTCCTAGCCGCCGCGAGCACACATTTGTGGCTGCTGCGTTCCTTTCCTTGTTCCTACGCCGGTCTCTCAAGACACACGACCACTGCGTCGTGCCAGCATCGATCCCTTGACTTACCGGTGCAGCAAAGCCGAACCGTCGAACAGGTGGTTGAAGCTGAACTCGCCGACCTTCAGGCTGCCGGGTCCGTTTCTGAGCAATGTACCCTTCAGCCAAGGTGGAATCGTGCCGGTCACTTTGCCGGATAATGGATCTATCACTTCTTTCTCGCAGGATCTCATCCACACCGAGGAATCGCAGTTTGGACAGTGGTTATTGTCCTTGGAGTCCTTCGCAGGCTGCTTCTTCTCCTTGGAATCGTTCGAACAGCCCTCAGGATCGACCAACTGCGAATTGAAATTATGTATGATGTAAATTATATAATGTATATAATATGTTATATATAATATAATTATATAATATATATTAATAATATATTATAAATAATATAATTGTATAATATATACTAATAATATATTATATATATTATAAATATTATATATAATACACATATAAATTTATAATATAAATTAATATCAGATTTAGCGCGACTAAATTATATAATGTTATTAATTATATAATATATATTAATAATATATTATATATATAATATAATTGTATAATATATATGTTAATAAAAAATATATACTAATACATACTATTAATATATATTAATAAAATATTATATATATAATACACAAATAAATTTATAATATAAATTAATTTCACATTTAGCGCGACTAACCATTTTTACAGGACACTTCGAATTGTTAACGGCAATAGCGACAAATTGGACATACAGTAAACTCTCCCTAATTTTCCTTCGCTTGTAAACAAAAATAGACAATTTAGGAAGAGGAGACACGATTATTTGAGCCTTGCACTTCGTTTTTATAATCGTTGACAATCGGCAACTATAAAAATGAGCCTCGAACCTCGAATAATTGTATCTCCTTTTCTCAAATTGTCCATCTTCGTTCACAAGCTAACGGAAAATCACGAAGAATTTATTTACACTGAATATCACAAAATTCAAAACGAGTTTACATAAACTGTTCACTCGAACCGCAGATTCGCACAGATTCCGTATTATATTAATATCAGCCTTAAATTCGCTTAAAAGAACAACGTAGTAAAGGAAACTTTCAACTTCTGCGCAGAGAATGCCGGTCGTTTCGCGTCGATATAACTGCGGCCCGGGTTACGATTACTATACCTGCACCAACGATCACCTATCCACGTAACTTACGCGAAACGAGGTTTTCGACAGTTTCATCCGCTTCCCGTGCAACAAGTCATCGAGATCGTTCAGATTCACGTTAGTAAAGTCACTGGTGGATCGGGATCTGCGGCACTTGATCGATTTCATGCTGATCAATTCGGCGCACACCGACGAGACGCGACCAACGTGCGAACACACGGTGAGACGTTGGCTTTTTTCTTTTTTTTTAACAGTCTGATATCAATCGACGAATTTCCAGGTCGGTTGGAGTTGGTCAGCGATTATGTCTCATCCTCGACGGTATCGTCGACCGGTTCCGTCACCAACGGGTCCAGGATCGTCAACAGAATGTAGAAGACTCGCTTGTGGGTGAAATCCATCGTTCCTGTTAGGGCTTCGACCAACGAATGACATTGTTCCGATAATCTGGTGACCTTAAAAGTGGAGCTCGTGATCGTGATCCAATTAATGGCACCGGTTGCTCGAAGCCCTGCGGACGGTCACGTGCATCCGGCAACGGGGTTGCATCCCCCATAACACGTGGTCCATCGGCACGCGTCCCGATCATTAATCGTCGCCTCTTCCCTTCCCACCGTCGATCGCCATAGCGACCTCGAAAGAGAGCCGTTCTCGAGAGGAAACAGCGCGAACACTCTGATACTCGTTTGTTAACATTTATTGTTCACCCCCCACGCGTCCTCGACGACGCCTGTGTTATCGACCATGCGAACGAGGACAGGCTGATTCGACGAGTTGCTGCGAGATGGCGGTCGACCTGCCAACCGGAGGACTTCCGGTTGCTTCCTCAAGACCTCGTTCCGGAGAACGCAGTCGCTTTTGTAATTCGTTTATTCGCTGTTTTGATGAAATTTAAAATTTACGATTTTTCTTTTTTCATTAAATTTTTAATATTTACGACGGAAACTTCGCGGTTATCTTGCAATCTGATTTCTTGGGAAATTTTATGCTGAATTCTTGAGAAAACGATTGCGCTTGAGGAACGATTAGTAGAATCTTTCTGTAATAATCGGCGTCTTTATGTTTGTAAGTCGACGCGTAACTAAACGATGATGTATGGAACGATTGCGCGATGAAATATTCATGAACCGAGAAAAACTGGTTGAATGAGAAGAGACTGTTCCTTTATCTTCGTCGAGGCGAGTCGTCTTCCTTGCCGATTGCAACTTCGTACGCGTCGATCAACGCTGAAAAGTTTTCCAGACCGAAACGGAAAAGCAATCAATGATCGCCGCGAAACCGAAACGCTGAAAGTCTCTGACCTCTCGCGAGAATTCCAAGATTTTTGAATTATTATCACAATGTGATTGAAAAAAATAGATTCGATCCACCATCTTAGGAATTTCAATAATTCTAAACGAAAAAATCGGAAACCCATCGTTGGAGTTAATGTTAAACAATATCGAAAAATTCGAACATTCCGTTTCTAAGTACAATAGAAACTCCCTTATCCGAACATTCATTTTCGTTGCGAAAAATAAGAATAATAAAAAACCGAAACGTAAAATAAAAAATATAATAAACAAAAAAATAAAATAAACATTGTATTACTCAAATACATTATCACCTGCTTGAGAACACGAATGAAATATTTAGTAGATAAATATTACTAGATAAATATTACTTATAGATAAATATTCGTAGAATGTTTGGTACCAGAGGATATATTAAAAATAAACCGTCGGATATAAGAGAGTCTCTACTGCGACCCTAAATTCGACTAGATCGATGCCGTAGTCGGCGCAGAAACTTCTCGACCGTTCGTAAAAACGGGATCGGTGTTCGCATAGGTGTTTAGCACGTCTCCCTTACCGGAAACAAGATGGCGATGCTGTGATCCAGGAGAGCCAGATTGTCCCGGTTGCTGTGTAACTCGGACATCCTGCAAGACACTCGGGAAGACCCGTTCGTCGTAACAGTTCTTTTCGCGGAAAACTCGTCCAATTGGCCGGTTTCGTACGTTGCTGGGCCGTTGCCAAAATAATTCGCGGAACTCTGGCCGTCGTTGTCGCACTGCTCTGCCACCGCCGAAACCGGCGTCGTCGAAACCGGCGCATTTTAGACCGTCCTCGCAATCTTTATTTTCATTTCTCGGCCGGCAAACCATGCTCTGCGCGAGATCTCGATCGCATAAAACAACGGGAAATCGAAGGGATCGAAACGCGGCATATTTTTCATACGCGAAGTAAAACTTAATGTTAACAAAAACAAAACGTTATTGAACGATCCGCTGCGCCGAATTGCAGAGATAGTTTCGAACAGCGTGACGTCAATAGAGCCGATAAACCGCTCGTATTTTTCTCTCGTAAAATATAATCTACGGTGTTGTTTTGCGTTTTCATTATCCTTTAAATTCCAATTGTTTTCTCCTTCTTTTTCTTTATCGGCGCCCGTTCATTTGTATTGGCTCGAGGCAGATTTTCGCGGGCCGAATGCCGCGACGGCAAAGCAAACGCGACGTGTTTATGCTGTTCGCGGCTTCAAACGAAACGCGAATTGCGGTAAACAAGAATAAATAGGATTTATTATGCGAGCGTTTATGCGGCCACGTGCGGCCCGAATGCACAAACGTCGTCGACGTGTGTGGTTTCTTATTATTTTCATTGAATTTTCGCGATCTTCGGCGGCCGTTATCTGCGTCGGACGAAAACAGTTCGGTAACGCGACGCTTCCGACGTTACGGCATCCTCTGCATCGTTTTTGTTGCACGCTTTCTTATCGTTCACTGACTGCAGAAACAGCGGGTGCTGTTAACGAACAGAGTCTCCGTCTCGTTGTTGTGCGTGTTGTTCCCGTTTTACGATCGCCCCACGATAAAGAAGGAGCCTTGGCTTCTCGACGCGTCTAGCCTGAAAATCAATTTCACACGCACCAACAACAGATTGTTTCCTTTGTTTATCTCCTTTGTTTAAACGATTGCGCGAGAACGGGTCGGAACCGCTCGTAAACAGGAAACTGCTCTCGCATTCGTTCGGTGCGCGGAAATTCGTGTCTGCGCTAAGTAGAAACGGTGTGCGCTGGTCAGACACGGTCGCGGAAGTATAGCGTGCAGTCTCGCGATCCCACGAAATTAATTTTCTCCCGATCTTTTACGCGTCGAGAACCGCAACAGAGAATCTTACGTTAAGCTCTCGATTTACTCCTCCGTGAATTTGATTTGTTATCGCGATATCTATGCAGAATAGGTATTTTGTACGCGTCAAATGCAAAACATAGATGCGATTCAGTTCTCTAATTATTTTACTCAATTCAATTACTCGAATTCGCCCACTGTTCTAAAGTGCGTTTATTCGTCTTCGTCATAAATGCATAAAATCCGCAGACCAATTATTCTTTATCTTTTCGCTAAATAAAAATTCCCAGCTAACAGAAGACACTCGGAAATGTTCTTCTTCTGTAATAATTTTTATTTAGCTAAAATGTAATTTATTTATTATTTAACCGCAACAGAGAATCTTACATTAAGCTCTCGATTTACTCCTCCGCGAATTTGATTTGTTATTGCGATATCTATGCAGAATAGGAATTTTGTACGCGTCGAATGCAAAACATAGATGCGATTCAGTTCTCTAATTATTTTACTCAATTCAATTACTCGAATTCGCCCACTGTTCTAAAGTGCGTTTATTCGTCTTCGTCATAAATGCATAAAATCCGCAGACCAATTATTCTTTATCTTTTCGCTAAATAAAAATTCCCAGCTAACAGAAGACACTCGGAAATGTTCTTCTTCTGTAATAATTTTTATTTAGCTAAAATGTAATTTATTTATTATTTAACCGCAACAGAGAATCTTACGTTAAGCTCTCGATTTACTCCACCGCGAATTTGATTTGTTATCGCGATATCTATGCAGAATAGGAATTTTGTACGCGTCGAATGCAAAACATAGATGCGATTCAGTTCTCTAATTATTTTACTCAATTCAATTACTCGAATTCGCCCACTGTTCTAAAGTGCGTTTATTCGTCTTCGTCATAAATGCATAAAATCCGCAGACCAATTATTCTTTATCTTTTCGCTAAATAAAAATTCCCAGCTAACAGAAGACACTCGGAAATGTTCTTCTTCTGTAATAATTTTTATTTAGCTAAAATGTAATTTATTTATTATTTAACCGCAACAGAGAATCTTACGTTAAGCTCTCGATTTACTCCACCGCGAATTTGATTTGTTATCGCGATATCTATGCAGAATAGGAATTTTGTACGCGTCGAATGCAAAACATAGATGCGATTCAGTTCTCTAATTATTTTACTCAATTCAATTACTCGAATTCGCCCACTGTTCTAAAGTGCGTTTATTCGTCTTCGTCATAAATGCATAAAATCCGCAGACCAATTATTCTTTATCTTTTCGCTAAATAAAAATTCCCAGCTAATAGAAGACAGTTGGAAATGTCCTTCTTCAGTAATAATTTTTATTTGGCTAAAATGTAATTTATCGAAACTTTACAATCGTTCTACTAGTTATGTTTAACACTAGAATTACTAAAAAACAGTCAAAACGACTGGTTTTTTATTTCTTCTTCCACAGTTTCTGATGCTGTAAAAATATTTTTGTTAGACATTTTTGTACGAAAACTTCTTCAACGAAGCATATATTATAACGAAAAACCGTAGAAAAGTATAAATAAATCCAATCTTGTTATTCTTATAAAACAGTATACGTTAGTCGCGTTTGAGGCTCGATAGTTCTAGTGTTAAATTTTAGTGTCGGATTATCGTCTCGTCGGCGCGAAGAATGAAGTTTGTAGTAATTCCGTGGCTTTATTGTAGCGATATCTTCGGTTGATAATGGCATCGCCGAAGGTCGAGCTGATCCAGTTTTCACGCAGGCATCGTCTGCTCGAAACTTCGAGTGGCTGTTACGTAAAGAGATTTTTCGAAAAGTACTTGTGACGGCTTCCTGTCGATGATAAATAACAGCTGAGCACGTTACACTGGAAGCCGCGAATCGTTGACGAATAGTGGACATGCAAATAGACATTTTGCAGCTGGGTGCGCGCGCGCGAAAAGTAGCCGACAGCTGGAAGATCAGAAAGTCATTCTAATTTCGCTTTCCGCTTTTCCGTCGCAACTTTTGGACACACACCTGTCGCGAGGCTGAATGACGCGGACGTAGCCAAATAAATCATTGAAAAGAAGACAATACGATCTTCTCTCGCGATCGACGTGAAATAAATGTTCGTCTGAAATGTATCATTTCATAGAAAACGAAGCGAATGCACATCGATTTTTATCTGTAGCTACATATTTACGGTCGAAGTTCACGACATATTCCCGGCATAGCAATGTTTACCGTTGCATAATAATCTATTTATGGAGCATAAAAAGTCAGCCGATGCTACACGTAAAGATGTGTATACGCAATTTAGTATCTGGTGATTTTTTTTATAG